TTGCCGCCTCGGAGGTCCCACAACACGCGCCCATCCAGAGTTGCCTTGAAAACCTTTGTGCCCAACATCTCCATCTTCATCCCTGCCTCACTTAGGGCCTTGGTAGAGAGGAGGTTGGCACACAATCCAAGAACAAGGAGAACACGCTTCAGCCCCACAAGCCTCCCATCCGCACCCATGAACAAGGCTCTCGCCTCGCCACGCACGCGTACAACTTGGCCGGTGGCTGAAACGACGGTGGCTGCCTTTGATGGCCTAACTTCATCCAGTAGATCCTCTCGGTTGGTCATGGTCATGAAGGCTCCCGTGTCGATGACCCAATGGGAGGAGCGGTGAAGAGCAATCTTGCTGGCCGGCACAACCATGTCCCCGGGGCACGCCTCCCCTACATGGTAGAACATGCCGCCGTATCCGCCAGCACCTCCATCGCCCTCCTCACTGCCCATGCCTTCTCCCATAGCTCCATGAACACCCTTGGAGCCCTCAATTGATGGCTGACCAGGCCTCCAACCGTCAGGTAGCTTGCGGCACTTGAACCATGGGTGCCCTTCCACATGGCAATACCAACACTTGCCGCCACACCGCTTGCCTCCCTTGTTGCCACGCTTCCCTCCCGAATGCTGCTCCCCTCCAGAGCCTTCCTTGGCCTTGCCTTTCTTGCTGCCACGCCCCTTGAAGCCCTTCATGACGTAGGCTGAACCTCCACCTTCACCGGCAGCGGCGGTCAGCTCCTTCCTCCGAAACTCCTCTTGAAGAACTTGCGCGCGAATCCACTCAAGGGACCACGAGTCCTTCATGCCATTAAGGTTGACCACCAAGGGCCCCCACGACTCCGGCAGCAGGGAGAGAGCCTTGTAGCACTTGATTTTCTCAGGGTAGTCCACACCAGCAGCAGAGAGCTTCACATAGAGGTCCCTGAGTTGATCGAACGCTCCTTGTACGGCATCACCCTCGTTGATCTTCACCGCATGGAGTTGTCGCTCGAGCACCACCACCATAGCTTCGCTGCTGGGGGCATGGACATCCTTCAATATCTTCCATGCCTTAGGACCACACTCAACTTCCTTGATGAGATGCTTGATGTGGTGCAGCTGGTTGGATGAGAGGCATTGGGAGAGAAGGAAGAATCCATCCTTGGACCGGCGATCCCATTATTTGGTCCCTCCTTCGCTCGCAGGCCTCTTCAATTCTCCATCCATCACTTCAAGCAGCCCATAATGGTTGAAGAGGAGCTCCATCCTGAAGCTCCATGATGCCCAATCCTCCCCAGAGAACTTCTCCAGGTTGAATGCCTTCACATCATCCTTAGCTGATGTTGAAACGGAAGCCATTGGTGCAGATCCGCCTGCAACGCCTCTTCCCGCTTCCCCAGCGCCTCTCACGCCACCACTGCCACTAGGACCAGCTGGAGAAGAACCTTCAGCCTCCATATTCACCCACGAACAGAGTAGAACAGCTCTGATACCACTTGTTATAGTCTGCAGTCCACTTAGGGGTCGCGGATGCCCATGAAACCGCCTAAGTAGAAGCTGACGACTTCGAACCGCCTCTGTTCAAAACACTGTCACGGCCAGCTCCAATAAGATACGAGGCTGAAACTTGGACAGCAATTAGCCTCAGGTGTCTGCTTTCCAACGGTATATTACTTGCTACTATCAGAGGTGTACGCACTACGCAGTGAACTAAAACGTAAGCTCGGCTGAAAATCGTGTATTCTCATTGATGCAAGGAAGAGGTGAGGTACAACATTGCCTAGGGGACTCTTAAGGGGTTGGGATCATCCTGGGAACTCAGAGAAGGTTGATTCCTAGGGGAGAAAGGCTAGAGAAGGATGGGAAACGTCCTAGCTAGGTCAGCAAAGCCAACCACACGTGGATGTTCAGAGCTGTACTCAAGGCAACCAATTGTGAGTCAAGCCAACCATGAGTCAGCTTGTCTTCCCACTTGCACCCTCTTGCAAGCTGGTTCCAGGAAGACCACACTTCTCAAAAGGAGGGTTGTAGAGTCCCACTTGACCACCTGTACTTCTTGTCTCATTCTCTGTCCCTGCACCATTGGCATGACAACAATGAAAGGGTGGCAAGGGAAATGCTGCCAACAGTGCACCATGACTACGGAACAGTGAATTTCGGCAGCTGTCACGCAATGCTCAGATGTTGGATCGTTCTGAAACTTGGTGACCACCTGCACAGCGGGGCCAGACCGAATCTCAGACCAATCAGAGCTCGGTAGACGAGTCAGCAGCCGAAATGGTGAACTCGGGTGTTACCAAAAAGGAGTAACACACACTTCCAGGATGCCATAAGTCTTGAAACATAAAATATTGTCATGCCTTGGTAACTGCTTCAAAAACTCTGAAACTTTGAGGGTTTGAAGAACACATGTTGAACAACCTCCCCACAAAATTCCAGAAGCTGAGCAGGCTTGTAGGCCGAATGGGAGTGCTATGACCGTGCCACTGTAATGTGTTGGCACAACATCCGCCTCCTTCACCGCCACCACCGCTGCTCCCGCCGTCCCCTCCACCACCCTTGCCCCCCTTGCCCTTGCTGCTGTGGCGCCTCCCACTAGGAGCAGACGCAGCCCCAACCTCCTCGGTGCCAAGGAGGTCAACAGCAGCAGCAGAGGCAACAGAGGGCAGAAGGGGAACGGGGGAACACCCCTCAAAGAACGGGGCGCGAGGGTCGCCGCGAGAAGCACCTACAACAACTATACTCTTCTCAGCTGCAGTGAGGCGCTCCTCTAGCAGGTCGACGGTGAGATCGGTGGGGCAAAGGGAGAGAAAGTGGTCCCTGACTGAGGAAAGGGAGACGGGTGACTAGGTAGAAGAGGGTGATGTACATGGGGGGGGGTTCTTGTCGCAGAACTCAGAGGGAAGCGCAGCGCGGTAGCGGGCGTCACTAGTGCGGAGGTGAGTAATGAGGTCAGCGACTGTGGCAAAGGTGGCCAGGTCAGGGAACAGGTACGGTAGCATGAGGCGGCTGAGGGTAGCAGTGGCAGGGGAGGAGTAGTGCACTACGACAGCGTCATACAAAGACATAGCAGTCTTGTACTGGCCAAAGAGCGCACGCTCAGCAGAAGGCAGGTGACTACGAACAGCAAGGCGAGCAACAGCGTCACAAGTAGTCCACTGCGAGCGAATTGTACTGTCAACATCAGCAGCAGGTGCAGCAGAGGCGCCAGACGTGAGATAAAAAAGCGATACTCCGTCCGTAGAATCACACTGAAGAAACAACTGCAGGTCATCTACCCAGACATTGAAGTCAACTGCACGACCCTCAGCATCAAAGGTAAGAACCGTAGGGTTAGCCATGGCGGCAGTAGCAGCAGTGGCAGCAGTAACAACAGTAGCTGCAGGAGCAGCGCGGGCAGGGCAGCGCGGCTCAGCAGGGCAGTGCGGCCCGGCTAGGCGGCGCGGCTCGGCCGGCAGGCAGGCGTGGGTAGGGCAGGTGCGCGGGTAGCGCGCGTAGGGCATGTGCTCACCAGGGGCGGGCAGGGCAGGCGCGACGGTGGGGCCGCGACGGTGGGGCCACGACGGTGGGGCCGCGACGGTGGCTGGGCAGGGCCGCGACGGGTGTTGCAGGCGCGACGGCGGCTGCAGGGCAGGGCCGCCACGGCGGCGCCGCGACGGTAGGGTCGCACGACGGCGGCGACGGCGGGGCCGCAACGGCGGCTGCAGGCACGACGGCGGCGACGGCAGGGCCGCGACAGTGGCTGCAGGTCAGGGCCGTGACAGCGGCTGCAGGTGCTCGACGGGCGGGCAGGGGAGTGTTAGAATATATCTGTAACTGCCTGTAGCTGTAGTTAGTGTAGTTATTATAAACTTGTTGGTGGTGCACCTTTCATTCATATTTGTACCCTTGAGCCTATAGTGAAACTCTCCTTTTCTTTCACAACTTTCTCGACTCTCTTTGGCCTAGGCTACTAAGCCTAGGCCCTACTCTTACTATCTCAACATGGTATTCAGAGCAGGCACTTTCCTGCTGCCTTCCTCAATGGGCCCATCAGTCTGCTTCCGCTGCCTGTCGTCCTGTCGCGCGCCTCGGGCGTGCGGCACGGCGATTTTCTGCCCGCCGTGCGCAACGGGCGCGCGGCGTCTTCCTGCCCTACGCGCGGCCTGCCCTCACGCCGCCTGCGCGCCTGCCCCACGTCCGCGCGCGGGCCTGTTCTACACGCCCGTACCCTGCCCTTCGCGGCGCCCTGCGAGGCGCCGCTTCTACTCGTCGTGACGCCCCTGCGGGACCCGTGCGTCGCCGCTCCTGCTCGTCGCGACGCCCCTGCGGGACCCGCACGGCGTCGCCCTGCTCGTCGCGACGCCCCTACGGGACCCGCGGGGCATCGCCCCTGCTCGTCGCGGCGCCCCCTGGACGCCGCCCCTGCTCGTCACGGCGCCCCTGAGGCGTCGCCCCTGCTCGTCGCGGCGCCCCCTGGGCGCCGTCCCTGCTCGTCGCGGCGCCCCCCCCCTGGCCGCCACCTCCTCTGCGCCGGCGCCTCCTCTGCAGCTGCGTGCGGGCCTGCCCTGCACCAGCGACACCGCCCCTGGAGCAGCCGCCCCTGCAGCAGCCGCCCCTGGCCCCTGGAGCAGCCACCCCTGGTGCAGCCGCCACTGCAGCAGCCGCCCCTGGCCTCTGGAGCAGCCGCCCCTGCAGCAGCCGCCCCTGGCCCCTGGAGCAGCCGCCACTGCAGCAGCCGCCCCTGGCCCCTGGAGCAGCCGCCCCTGGTGCAGCCGCCACTCCAGCAGCCGCCCCTGGCCCCTGGAGCAGCCGCCCCTGCAGCATCCGCCCCTGGCCCCTGGAGCAGCCGCCACTGCAGCAGCCGCCCCTGGCCCCTGGACCCAGTGCAGCCGCCACTGCAGCAGCCGCCACTGCAGCAGCCGCCCCTGGCCTCTGGAGCAGCCGCCCCTGGCCCCTGGAGCAGCCGCCACTGCAACAGCAGCCCCTGGCCCCTGGCTCAGCCGCCCTCGTGCGCTCTGCTTTGCCCGCGCCCTCGTGCGCTCTGTCTCACCCGCGCCCGCCTGTTGCTGCCCGTGCCTGTGCTGCCCGTTGCCGCCCGTTGCTGCCCGTGCCTGTGCTGCCCGTTGCCGCCCATTGCTGCCCGTGCCTGTGCTGCCCGTTGCCGCCCGTTGCTGCCCGTGCCTGTGCTGCCCGTTGCCGCCCGTTGCTGCCCGTGCCTGTGCTGCCCGTTGCCGCCCGTTGCTGCCCGTGCCTGTGCTGCCCGTTGCTGCCCGTGCCTGTGCTGCCCGTTGCCGCCCGTTGCTGCCCGTGCCTGTGCTGCCCGTTGCCGCCCGTTGCTGCCCGTGCCCTTGCTGCCCGTTGCCGCCCGTTGCTGCCCGTGCCTGTGCTGCCCGTTGCTGCCCGTTGCTGCCCGTGCCTGTGCTGCCCGTTGCCGCCCGTTGCTGCCCGTGCCTGTGCTGCCTGTTGCCGCCCGTTGCTGCCCGTGCCTGTGCTGCCCGTTGCCGCCCGTTGCTGCCCGTGCCTGTGCTGCCCGTTGCCGCCTGTTGCTGCCCGTGCCTGTGCTGCCCGTTGCCGCCCGTTGCTGCCTGTGCCTGTGCTGCCCGTTGCCGCCCGTTGCTGCCTGTGCCTGTGCTGCCTGTTGCCGCCTGTTGCTGCACGTGCTTGTGCTGCCCGTTGCCGCCCGTTGCTGCCCGTGCCTGTGCTGCCTGTTGCCGCCCGTTGCTGCCCGTGCCTGTGCTGCCCGTTGCCGCCCGTTGCTGCCTGTGCCTGTGCTGCCTGTTGCCGCCCGTTGCTGCCCGTGCCTGTGCTGCCCGTTGCCGCCTGTTGCTGCCTGTGCCTGTGCTGCCTGTTGCCGCCTGTTGCTGCCCGTACCTGTGCTGCCCGTTGCCGCCCGTTGCTGCCCGTGCCTGTGCTGCCCGTTGCCGCCCGTTGCTGCCCGTGCCTGTGCTGCCCGTTGCCGCCCGTTGCTGCCCGTGCCTGTGCTGCCCGTTGCTGCCCGTGCCTGTGCTGCCCGTTGCCGCCCGTTGCTGCCCGTGCCTGTGCTGCCCGTTGCCGCCCGTTGCTGCCCGTGCCTGTGCTGCCCGTTGCCGCCCGTTGCTGCCCGTGCCTGTGCTGCCTGTTGCTGCCCGTGCCTGTGCTGCCCCTGCTCTTCCCCCCCGCCCCCCCCCCCCCCCCCCCCCCCCCCCCCCTTTTCTTCGTCTCCCTGCTGCGCGTGCAGCCGTGGAACGGAGGGTATGGGGGTGCCGGGTATGGGGGTGATGGGTGGTGTGTTTCCCTTCCCCTCTTCCTCCTTTCGTTCCCACTGCTGCAGCTGCCGCTGGGGGGAGGGTGTGAGGCTGTGGGGGAGCCAGGGGAGTGGCATTGGGGTGGCGGGTGTGAGACCAACCAGCCGGCCCCTTTGCTGCAGTACCTACTCTTTTACCTTGCCTGCTATTGCTGTTTTCTCTGTTCGTGGTGTACCCATCCAGGATGTGTTGCTGCACAGACTCCTACTGCAGGCAGTTATGGGGGAGTGTTAGAATATATCTGTAACTGCCTGTAGCTGTAGTTAGTGTAGTTATTATAAACTTGTTGGTGGTGCACCTTTCTTTCATATTTGTACCCTTGAGCCTATAGTGAAACTCTCCTTTTCTTTCACAACTTTCTCGACTCTCTTTGGCCTAGGCTACTAAGCCTAGGCCCTACTCTTACTATCTCAACAGGGAGGGCCGCGACAGCGGGTAGGGCAGGGTTGCGACTGGCGGGTCGGGCAGGTCCGCGACGGGCGGGGTAGGCAGGGCCGCGACGGGCGTGTAAGGTAGGGCCACGACGAGCAGCAGGGTAGGGCAGGCGCACGACGGCGGCTGCTGGTAGGGCAGGCGCGTGACGGCGCGGGTAGGACGGGCGCGTGAGCGCGCGCGTAGGGCAGGGCCGCGACGGGCGGCAAGGTCAGGGCCGCGACGGGCCGTTAGGGCAGTGCCGCTATAGGCGGCAGTACGGCAGGGCGCGCGACGACGCAGGTGAGGCAGGCACGACAGTGCGCTTCGGGCAGGGTAGGAAAAAAATTTTGTGGTGGGCCCTAAGAAAATCGTTCCCACTAGGGAACCTGCTCAGAAACCATGTGAAAGTAAAACGAGGAGTGATTGCATTGAGCAGCATAAAGAGTACAAGTAGGAAATCCTAAAATGTTGTACCCTATATGAACTACCCCACTACAGCCTACAGCATATAAGTTTGACATAAAGAAGCCTATTGATCAGCCTAAAGCGGGGAGATAACCTCGCCGCAGCGCTGCTGTCACTGTTTCAGCGTGACTGACACGACAAATTTGTACTTCCAGCGCCGATCGCGGCTGTCAGACTAGAGTAGGTACTCGCTAAAACGCTCGTGGGATCAGATTACACTCTCGGAAAACTCTGAATTTTCAGAGCTAGCATTAAAAAAAGTCTGAAACTTTCAGAGTTGAGGCCCTAAAAAGTCTGAAATTGTCAGAGTACTCTGAAAAAAAAAAAAATCTGAAATCTCAGAGTTTTTTTGCCAAATCAGAGAAAAATGAGGGCCTGCGCGAAGCCGATACGAGGTGTGTCTGATATGAGGTGTAGGAACACGCTCTAACTCCTCCAGATCCCAACCACCTTGTCGTAGTTGGGCTCATACTGCATCAAGGACATTTGCATCCTTAATGCCGCCTCGAAGCCAGGACTTCATCACGTGCTGAAAAACGCCAAGAAAAGCCTCGTTCACACTCCACGGTGCTGAGGGGAATGATCGCCACCGCTACCCAGAGCTGCACGAGGTTCGAATAGCTCTTTCGCCAATCCGGCGTCTTGAGAATCGCCATGAGGCCATTGTGGAAGCTCCTTTCTCCCTTGGGAGCTCCTCCAAGGACTGAACAAACTAGCCGAAGCTCCTTGCATGCCAGGCTCTTGTTGATGCCTGGCGGGTTGTGGGAGGGAGAATAACATGGAAAAGTTAGTGAACACGCATACTATAAGAGAAGCCCATCAAGTAGGGCCAGCAATGCTTAGGATGTCATGTCAACTCACCAGGAGAATCTCTTCCTTGCCTTGAGCCTTGAACAATGTCACCAGCGATTGAAGCCATTCCTGCCATCGTGCATGTCGCTCCACCTTTCCAAGGGGCCAGGAATCCGGCATGAAGAGTTGGACCCCAGAGAGGGAGTCCAGGTCACGAAGCCGCCCCAACAGGTTCGCCACGATGCATTCGGCGAATTCCGTGCACAACTCGACGCAGCCGTCATGGTGCCCTAGGCCACCATACGGATCCTTAGGGTCTTCATGAAGGGTGAAGGAGAAGCTTGTTGGTCGTCCGTTATGTGTCAACACCCTCCACAGTCATGGTGCGGGTTGCAGCCCGGTCCATGGCACTCCAGAAAAGGAGAGAGCATGTGGCTCATGCCACCGCCGAAGTCATCTTTGAAGTCCACATAATGGCTCTCGATGTGTGATGTTCTCCACTTGATCTACGCATGCAAAGAGACCAGGTCGAGCTGGGCAAGTGGAAAAAAAAAAAGTAGAGTAAATAAGGGAGCATTGAACAAGCACAAAGCAAGATATAACCAACGAGTTCTCACCTGCCTCTACTGGAATGTCTTGTTCAGAATGTTAAGCTGCTCAAGCACATCAGCCAAGAAGAACAGGAAAAGGTGAAACCGGTACGAGGTTACAAGTGCATACATCGTGTTTTTAAGCTCTTTCAACAAGACAATCACTGCCGGTAACACTGCAATGAGCCGCCGGACTGCATGCCCTCGAGACAGCAAACGAATCTGGTGAATGCTTTGGACTTCAAGGCTCATTCTAGCTCTGAGCGAATGAACCCCTCCTTACAATGCCGTGGATGGAATGACGAGAATGGTAGGTAAAGTTATGTATTCTTAGGCTTCTGAATGTGGAAATGTCCAACACGCCAGGGCAGTGGAATTGCTGTCCTTAATGAATGACAAGATGTAGGAAATCTACAGAGGTCTCCAATTTTCCTTACTCCATTCCCAGCATATGAAACCGTCATCAATGTAACGGAGGTGGAGGAGAGGGAGATTGTGACCCATGCGCGTTCGGAGTATTTCATCCAGCCGGCTCATATAAAGGATGGCGAAACACACTACAACAGAGGTTCCCATCGCCGTCCCCTGGATCTGCCGAAAAAGGCCTACCACTGAAATACACGTAAGAGTTAAACATGACCCACTCCAAAAGCGCTACGATGATAGTTGCGTTAAGAAAATGAAGAGGGTCTCTTTCCAGGAAAGAGCGGATTATATAAACATCTTCTTGTAGCGAAATTGATGGGTATAGCGCTTGGATATCTTATGTAGCAAGTAAAAGCTTTTTTGGCAGAGGGGCTTTCTCCAAGTGAAGGAAAAGCGATAGAGGGTCTCTGAGATATGTAGACTGTTGAAGAACGAGTGGACGAAGTGCAGCGTCTAACCAGTGCCTAACGTTCACAATAACCCAGGAATGAGAAGCTCCTAATGGTCGTCCAATACCTTCATGATGACATAAAAGATGGCCGGCTTCTAGCCAGTTGTCGGAGGGTGTTCAAAGTAAGACCACATGTATTTAGGGAATTAAGGTCCAAAGTTAGCACGAATCTCCAGCAATTTAGCAAAAACAGAAGTCTATGGATCTTCAAAGTCTGCAGTGGATGTAAGATTTTCTGTATACTTGCTCTTGTCCAGGAAATGGTTCAGGCACTCTCGGATGTAGGCCGTTCGATTCATCAGGGTAATTCCCATGTGTTTATCAGCTTGCTTGATGACGAGCTTGGTGTTGGAGGCGAGACTGTTGATGGCTTTTTTGTCAGAGGTCCACTGGTGATCCCCGGTTGATCCTAAGGAAGGGTTACAGGCACGTTGGCCTGGGGGGTTATGGGCGCACTTACCCGCTACACAAACAAGCCCTTTTATCCCAATGGTCTAGTGGTTGGGATTCTGACATGGTATCAGAGCGAAGGTCTCGGGTTCGAATCCTGTTGTGTGCACTTCGGGCATCCCAGTGCGGGGGGGTGTCAGAGGTCCACTGGTGATCCCCGGTTGATCCTAAGGAAGGGTTACAGGCACGTTGGCCTGGGGGGTTATGGGCGCACTTACCCGCTACACAAACAAGCCCTTTTATCCCAATGGTCTAGTGGTTGGGATTCTGACATGGTATCAGAGCGAAGGTCTCGGGTTCGAATCCTGTTGTGTGCACTTCGGGCATCCCAGTGCGGGGGGGTGTCAGAGGTCCACTGGTGATCCCCGGTTGATCCTAAGGAAGGGTTACAGGCACGTTGGCCTGGGGGGTTATGGGCGCACTTACCCGCTACACAAACAAGCCCTTTTATCCCAATGGTCTAGTGGTTGGGATTCTGACATTTTTAATACCCCTTGGGGAGGTAAGGGCCTTCTCGGATTGCAGGTCGTGATAATATACATATAAGATCGTTTCTGGTTTCTTCCAAGACTGCTTCCAGCTTCTCATCCTCAGCAGGTAACCAAGTGGGATTGCTAATTGTTACGAGTGCAATTGAGTGAGTGTGCGAGATTTGCACCATTGAAGCAAGAGTACAATGAGCGAAGGCATGAGCGAAGAACATATAGCGAAACTACAGTGGTAACGGTAATGTGTGAAAAACCGGGGTGCGCGACGGGCCTAGCACCGAGGTTGGGAATTGTCGAGGCGGAGGTCCGGAGCGCGGGTTACCAACCTAATCCATGAGGTTGGGTCGCGTCGTGAACAGTGGCGGGAACCGTGTCAAGGCGAGTGTCACGAGTGGTAACGGTTTACTGTTGGGTGCTGTTGGCGGGAACAGTGGTGTACGCGCTGAGCAGGGACGCGAAGTAAGGAAAAGGAATTTCCCTTACACTACCCCCCCCCCTCCTAAGAAGGTCCTTTTTACGAGAGCGCGTGTACATCCCGGGAATTTCGGCTACTCAGATACTCGGAGAGGATGGGGTGGTTTTCGATTCTGTCTAGGGGAACCCAGTTGTCTTCGGTGGGCGTGCGGTCTTTCCAGCTGATCAGAAATTCGATCCTGCGAGCTCCTCGTGGGTCATGAAGTCGGTGGCTCAGGACTTTCTCGGGCGTGATGATTGGTTTTGTCGGCGGTCGTCTCCTGCTGGCTGGGCGGTTGCGAGGCAGTTGGCTGGTGGATGGTACGTAAGGTCGAAGTAGGCTGACGTGGAAAGACGGGCTGACGTACCAGTCAGCAGGGAGGAGGAGGTGGGCGGTGACGGGTGTGATCATGTGGCTGATGCGAAATGGCCCGCAATAACGAAGGCGGAGTTTTGGGGTGATGGGCAGGTGGAGCTTTTGAGTGTTGAGTAGTACTAGATTATCGGGCTGGTAAGTGACAAGTCGGCAGTGGCGGTCGGCGTTGCGCTTAGCGATAATGCTTGATTTTTTTATTGCGTCTGCTGCTCGGGTCCGTGCTGCTTGTAAAATTTTGGCAAATTGTTGTGCTTGTGGTACTGGGTTGTCGGGATTCGGGGTCATCGATACTGTGGGGTCTTTTCCGTAATCCAGGTAAACCGGTGACTGTTGGGTCGTGGCGGATGGCAAGTTGTTGTACGCGAACTCGATGAGTGGAAGTTGCTGTTCCCAGGTGGTCGGGTCGTCACACGTGGCTCGGATGAGTTGCTCCATGGTCTGATCTGTTCGTTCTGTCTGTCCATCGGTTTCGGGGTGGTACAAAGAACTAAACTGTAGTTGTGTGCCAAACTGCTGCCAGAGGTTCCGCCAGAAGTTGCTGGTGAATTTCGTGTCGCGGTCGCTGATGATCGCTGCTGGTATCACGTGCAGTCGAACGACGGTGGAGATGAAGAGGCGGGCTATTTCTTCGACTGTGATTGATTTCTTCCAGGCTGCGAAATGTGCCATTTTCATCAGCCGATCGACCACGACCAGGATCGCGTCGTTCCCACTCGCTCCAGCCGGTAACCCCGTGACGAAGTCCATTGTCACCTGCTGCCAAGCAAGCTCTGGGGGTGGTATCGATTGCAACTGTCTTGCCGGCCGCTTCCGTGATGATCCCATGAGTTGGCAGGTGGGGCACGATGCCACGTGTCGTTGTACTTCGGTCAGCATCTCGTGCCAGTAATAATACCGCTGAAGCTGTTGTCGTGTTTTTCCTACTCCGTAATGGCCTGAGGTATCTCCGTCATGTGCCTCTTGTAGGAGTAATTCCCGTAGTAATGTGTAGCCAGGTACCCAGATGCGGTCGGTGCCGGCTTTTACGTAATAAACCCCCTTTGCTGCTGCGAACTGCTGCGAGTTTCCACCCGTGAAGAATGTGTCTGTTTGATGTCCGTGAGTAAATAGTCCTGTCAGTAGCGGGCTGGTTTGGGCGAGTAGTATGGCGTGGATTTGGGCAGTGGGGCGGGTCAGTGCGTCGGCGATGTTCGATGCCCCTTTTTTGTAGGCGACCGCGTAGTGGAGATTGGACTCGAGAAAATCGAGCCAGCGAATCTGTCGCCGGTTGAGGTGGGGCTGTGCGTGGAGGTACTGTAGTGATTTATGGTCTGTCCGTACTGTCACGTCTGCGCCGGTCAAGTAACAGCGCCACACCTTGAATGCATGCTGTCAGAATGTTATTCTCTAGCCTGTAGTGGGGTGCTCTATAGCGAGTACAACCCATCTAGGGTTTGCTATATGTATCCTCATTGCTGCTA